ATGGCATAGTGACTGGAGTTCAGACGTTGCTCTTCCGATCTCCCCAAAACCCCAAAACCCCATGCTTTAAGAATTCAGATCAAGATTGAAGTAAATATTTAAATAAAATTTTTTTTTTAATTTTAATTTAGCACAAAAAATAGGAATTATTATAATAGTTTGATAAGTTAACGATAATGGAATATTCAGCCTCAAATAAGATTAACATGGTAAATTAATTACAAAAGTAAGTTTCTATAGGGAAATAAACTAAAGCATACATGAGTTCATTCCTAATAAAAACATTGAAGTATGCTAGGGAAACTCCACCCTAAGCATGCAAGAGTTTCATCCTAGAATTAGAACAGAGTGAAAAATGTCCTCAGATAAGAAATAAAAGACACACAATAAAATGATAAAATCTTACTTACTGATAATGACTAAATATCATCGCATAAAATGGAGATTACCGAGTAATTTAAGTTTAGCAACGCCAATAAAAATAAATTAAATTTGCCTTCAAATTAAGATTTACCATTTTCCAACAATAACCAGTTTTCTTAAAAGGATCAGGAGAGCTAAGAATTTACAGAGAATACAAATAAAAATTTATTAGATAAGGATGCTTGCAGTAAAGATGATAATAATCATTTATTTAACTATGGGAATCATGATATGGATAGTTAGAACTTACTAAGCCATAAAGATAAAGATAAAATTCAAAGAGATCTATCATCAATTTTGCACAAAGATTAGAATATTAATACTACTGTGTCCCTAAGAGATTAGCTTAGCACTAAATAGTCGAAAAGAGATACAATGATTGAAACTATCTATCAACATACAACAACTCATTACACTAATAGAAATGCCTTTGCTTAATAAACATCATCATTTACAAGTAAAAGACCTACATCTGGCTAAAATAAAAACAAAAGTTTTAAAACTATAAAATCCCCCAAAAATAAGCAAAAGCAACCTAAAAGAATTGAAGATGAAAACAAACTCGAAGATATTGAATAGAAAATTAGACTTTTGGATAGTCTTATAGAATCAGACAAAATTTCAAAGCATATTAAATAGACTTAGTCAGATTAACTAAAAATTATGAAGTAAAAAGTCTAAAAACTTCGAGAAGCAGAGTAAAAGCTAAATGAAATAAGAATAGGATAGAGTGTTTAAAATTTTTAGAATCAAAGCTTGATCTCTGAAAGAGAACAGCATTAAGCATATGCTCAATCACCTAAAGATCTTCAATGTTATACTCTATGCGAAGAGTCAATGAAGAGTGAAGCAAATAAAAAGCGAAGGCTAATCTATATGTAGCATAAGGACTAAAACAAGCTCTTAAATAAAGCTGAAATCATGTTTAATCAAGGATTGCGAGAGTCAGGCAGCTTACATTCAAGCAGCTTAGATAATAATAACTCTATAAGAAATACCACTGCCTATAATAATGTAACTCCATCTCTACAGAATTTTAAACTCCTAAGCTAAGCAAAAAGAACTTAAAACCAGTCATCTGTTTTAAGAAATAGCTTACAAACAGATTCCAACAGATAAGATTATTACTCAATATATGAGAATATAATAAATGAAAAGCAGGCAACCGAAATAATTCAGAAGATTATCAAGCAAAGACCTAAATCTGAATATCATTCTAAGAAGGCAGCAAGGCGAACTGAAAACGGATCTCTCAATATCTATCAGAATAGCATAATAACAAACGAAAAAATAAATAATACCCTTAATACTAGATTCGCAGTTAATAGCAAGAATTCTAAGTATAGTAGTAATAAGATCAGATCAGGGCAGTCATCTTTCAATTAAATGGTAAGCCAATTAAGTGATATCCGCATTGAACCAATGATAGATGGCAAAAGCGTAGTCATTAATTTTAAATAAGATTCTAGAAATAAAGAACAGTAACAGACCAGACCAGCAACTGCTAATCAGTAGTCTCGAATTATAATCAAATTTAATAACATAGGCAGGAGAGAGTAGCATAACTTTGCTGTTTAAGGCATAAACAATTTTGAATAAGTGTCCATTGACTATAAAGCTAATCTTCAGAGAAATACTCAGAATCAGTCATTCCATCATTAAAAACAGAAAAGTTCAGAGGAGTGCAGCATCTTATTTGATAAAACAAATCATTTAAGAAAGGCTTCTTCAACTTTTCAGCATTAAAGCTCATTAAGAAAATCAGTCCACAGTAAAACAAGAAATTAAGCCCAAAATAAAGCTGATGGCACAAGTAGTTTTCACAATAGCGAACTCCTGAGTTTTAACTCTTCATTTCATGCTGATAAAATAATTGATCCAGCAGGAATAAATCAAACCAGACCGGCTATTACTGAGTTCGTTGATATTAAAATGAATAAGAAGCCAGAATAAAAAGTTACTCGAAAGCAATTTAGTTCTGCTGACAAGAATAAGAAGAGAAGCATTAGACTTTTACAGAATCTAAACTAGCATGCCAAAAATGAATACTACGACCCAGAAGATATTAAATCAACTAGAAAATTGACCTCTGATTCTTTAAGAACATCTCAAAACCCAATCCGGAATATGGGAAATACTAATTCTATATATCTCTCTAATAGTATAGCTGGAGACGATAATGATGCAAGCAATTTAGTGAATAAAAAATTTTCTGCTTACAATATTGGATACTCCTAACCCTCTCATTTTTTAAGTATAACAAATAGAGACTCGTCTAAAAAGAAACTAAACTCAGTTTAGATGTCTTCAAAAGATATTAATCGGCTGAATTCGCAAAATCCTTATCTGACCGCCTAGAATTCAGTTCATGAGGAAAGTCTTTAAAGCGATGTGGATGTAGTCAATATTCTATCCTAGAGGGGGTATACTAAAATCAGAAGAGATTATTACAGCAAAGACTAAGGTAAAAATTTCAGTAATGATGCCTATATCAACTCACTTGAAATTAAGAATAGAGTAGCTGAGTCCAATTATAGGCACTCTTAATCTAGAGATAAAAATAGATTATGAACTATGCTGTGTAACTTATGAAATAAATATGATAATTATTAAATTATGATTAAAATCTTAATTTAATAAATTGCTTTTTTAAACAAAAACACAAGGAATTATTTATAGTTAAATGTAACTCTGAGGATGATTGCTCATTTCAATAAATTTGGATTTGGAACAAATTTAGTCTACCTGCCCTTCTTTTTAGGCTCATTTTAAGGTTATAGCTTTGCCATGTATAACTCATAGGCTGAGGGCTTTTTCACCTACTCAACTATCGGCTTTTAAGGTCCAACTCTAAACTTAACAGAATTATTGGATACCTTGCTGATGTCAGAGTACCTTACAGTCATTTCAACATCACAACTTGACTTATCTTGACTTGGGTCCCTTGCCTAGCTTGGCTAACTCTTCATTCGCAGATCTGAATCATAGCCTCTCCTATAGCTTTGTGGATCTGAGTCATTATCATAGTCATCAAGTGGATTTCTCTCTCCTATACTCTTTTTTGTGTCAGTCCTACGCTTAGAGCTTTACTCTCTGTAAAAATTGTTTTAAAGTGTCGCTCTTCTACTGTTCTCTTGCTTATTAGCATCATAAAACTCATTTTGACTTACAAATTCATTTACTTGGAAGATATTTTCATAATCTTTAACCTCAATCTTTTTATATTATTCAGCAGGAGACTGCAAAGGTTGCTATTAACCAGTGAATTACTAGGGTGACTGATTTTACACTTGAATAAATATCTATTATTGAGGTGGCTGGTTAGGCTGTTGTTAAAATGTTATAAGCTTTTATGGTGGATTGCCAAAACTTTCATCGAATATCAGAGTCTATTCTCTATTAGGCTATAGTAACTATTCCTATTTCTCATCAAGTGTTAAGGTTATAGTGTTTGTGTTATTGTTCGAGGTTAATTTGCTTTTCTACCGTTTTTCTTTCAGATATTATCTTTTTTTTTCCAATTCTTAGTTTTTCATTTCAATTTCATATAGCTTTGCTAGTTTAGCCTCCTTCTTCTGTTTAATTCTTTCCCGCATATAATCCTCTCTCCTTTTTTCAAACTAGTTCAAAGGATCAAATGTTCTTAGAGCTATGCACATCAAAATCAAAATAAAAGCAGCAGAGAATATAGATAGAGCCACATATACGAAATCCCAAAATCCTGCTAACACATAATCCTAAAGATCTTGCCATTCAACATTATATACCTCATAGTAATCAGTTGAGAAGTTAAATGTAAAATTAATAAGAGAGGGCTTATAAGCATTCTAGTCTGTAGGAAAAGCGATTAAAAAGACGCTTCCTCCACTTGACAATGGGTATTAATAAGCTTTACCAGATGTTGGATTCACACTAGCATTTATTGCATTTCTTTGATCTTCACCGTGAAGAAGATAAGTGGTTAAGTTAGTTGAATTATGTATCACAATATTGATAAAAACCCAACTCAGCAAAACTTTTGGATTATTTATCAGATATTATTCGACATCAACTTTTAATTCCCAATAACATACATCTCCTGCAGTCTCATTCAATGAATTCCTTAGAGTTATAGTTTAATTCTGCTAGAATAGTGGCCTAAGTACTGGCCCTGGAGTCCCACATGCCTTAGTTTTCCTTGGGCAAAAAGTATACTTCATGTATTAATGAGACTGAGTGTTAAAGCTGCATGAAATCTCATTAGTAGAGTTATCTTGACATTCAGTCCTTGATTAATCCGGACAGCACCAACCAAAATTCCTAGAGTGAGAGCAATAGAATCCATCATTTTAATGTGCTGAGAAACAACTTTAAATACATTGCTAAGCCCCATATCTGATCCATTGCGCACTAGTTTAGTCAATACTGCAATAGTAAAAAATAAGATGTAAAAAGAGTAAAAGAAATTTTGATTATTTCATTTTCTATAATTTTAATTCAAATTTACTTAAGGGGTTTTGGGGTTTTGGGGTTTTGGGG